GTTTGTGTCGTATGTAATGTAAGGAGAATTTCAAAGTGTTATTCTTTTTGTACCTTTTTTCTGGCGCTGCTCTTGATCATGTGGATTGGTTTATGGGATCGGTCCCTGGGCCGTGCTATGGGTTGAACTCTGATTGGCCTTCCGGCTTTTTCCCGCCTTCATGGGCGGAGGATGATGACTGTCACACCTCCTTTTCCGCTACTACACCCCGTGAAGGGTATAATAAAAGGAGTTTTTCCAATTAAAGGACAATCGAAACGGGATTCGTTTATTAAGAAGTTCAGAGTCGCCACTTGGGAGATTTATGGTGTCCCAAGTCACCGGTTTGAATCCCGAATCGAGGAAAGGGTTTGACTCTGTATTAACAATCGCGAACCAGAAATCCGAGTAAGGAATTCTGTTAACCCGGGAGAAGGGGTTAGGCACTCCCGAGTTCTGTGGTTCTAGCACGGTCGCTCAACTGCTATATTTGGCAAAATCTGATTTTAATACATGTTATCCTATTGTTCAATTTTAGAAGTTACTTACCGCTTTCAATTAAAAAGTTTTAAGAAAGTGAACGTCGTTTAAAACGTGTTTTTGGATCACGTCACATGAAATGCACCCGGATCCTCGACACATTTTATTCGACGTTTTGGGATTTGGATTTGGGTCGCATGAAATGCACACCCGTATTTAGAAAGGTAAAATTATTAAAGAACGCGCCTAAAGTGACTATCGTGTTATTAACTTTGCGGGAGGCCGTGAAATTCGCTAAACGGCACGCCCCGAATTCTAAGTATTTTAATATAAGCATTTAATGAGGGCCCTGCAATTTATGCATTTTTGTTTGNTTTTTTTCTTCTTAGGTTTAACCCTAGGTTTATTGGTCTAGACCTGGCTTACCCGAGCGGACAACTCGGGCCGAGGGGGAGGCAGCGTACCGGGGATACAGAAGCTCCGTCGGCTTTGCAACTTATCCAAACCTCGTTCTAAATGGGAAAGACTCTAAACAGAAGAGAAGCTACACGAAGTGCACCCTTCTCCATGATGTAGAAGACTCAAAAAGAGGAAGGGATTCGCGACAATTTATATACAATTCAACATATATCAAAGCGATAAAACATTTAGCACATAGCATGGAACATGTAGAAAAATCAGATAAATCCAAATATAACAAATTAAAATGAGCTCGAATTCTTGAACCCTGAACCGAAATTCTGGGTTCTTGTCCCCAGCAGAGTCGCCAGAGCTGTCACACCTCCTTTTTACTTACTACACCCCGTGAAGGGTATAATAAAGGAGTTTTTCCAATTAAAGGACAATCGAAACGGGATTCGTTTATTAAGAAGTTCAGAGTCGCCGCTTGGAAGATTTATGGTATCCCAAGTCACCGGTTTGAATCCCGAATCGAGGAAAGGGTTTGACTCTGTATTAACAATCGCGAACCAGAAATCCGAGTAAGGAATTCTGTTAACCCGGGAGAAGGGGTTAGGCACTCCCGAATTCCGTGGTTCTAGCACGGTCGCTCAACTGCTATATTTGGCTAAAGTCTGATTTTAATACATGTCATCCTATAGTGCAATTTTACAATTGTTTAACCGCTTTTAATTAGTTTAAGAGCGCGTTTTTGGATCCGTCACATGAAATGCACCCGGATCCTCAACACCTCTTATTCAACGTTTTGGGATTTGGATTTGGGTCACATAAATGTGCACCCGTATTTAAGAAGGTAAAATTATTAAAAGCGCACCTAAAGTGGCTAGCGTCTTATTAACTTTGCGGGAAGCCATGAAAATTCGCTAAATGGCATGTCCCGGGTTTCTAATATTTTAATAAAGCATTTAATGAGGGCCCCGCTATTTAGGCATTTTATTTGGCGAGGCTCGTCCCACTTTTTATTAGAGGCCAATCCTATTGATTTTCTATATTTTGTCTCTAATAATAAAAGAAAAAGTCCTAGCTAATTAATATTAAAAAAAAAAACCGGGCTTCAAGTTCAAGTCCGGGTTCAAACAAAAGGGCAAGCCTTTTAGTTTGGACCCGCTACCTAACCCGAAGGCCCAAATTAGTTACGACATTACTCCTAATGACCTTAAAAGTATTTCTAACTTCCAATGAACTTCTTGGGCCTCAATAATTGGCCCAGGACCATGGATAGGCAATTAGATCCACAAAATGCTGCATCTTTATGGCAATTTAGCAACGAGCCCAAGTGACTGACTAACATGACCATTAACCAAACGTTGAAGTTTCAATTTCTAGTCATTTTTAGCTGACAATTACCATAACAGTGTTCAAACGGTGGGTTTGATGACCAGCAGAACCAAACGATCGCTTTGCCTTTTATTTTTTAGAAATTGGGATTATTAGGACTGAACAGATCAACGCACAGGGATGAACATACTCTAACAGGATGAGATCATTTTTTGAGAACCAATGCGAGATCCTTTAAACTATTGAATGATTCAACACTGATTTCAGGCCTGTGTTTCAATATACTAAAATGGCTTCAGGTCTAATTCTATCACTTCATTGAAACCTATGTGAATTATTGCTCAATACTTTGCCTTAGTATCAAAATCTTCCTAACATCAAATTATACTAACAATCACAACAGCTGAGTACCTGCACCAATATTACTTAGCTTCGGCTACAACATCTAAGTGTTAAATGCCAATATAATCTTCAGTTCATGCGAACAGTCTAGTTGTGAAGTCCTATTATACAACCCAGGAATTGTAAAGGAAACAAAAATACATATCAATATTGAACTAGACTAAACAATTGTATTTAACACCCATTTTGACTCTTTAACAAACAACAGTCTAGGCAGGAACAACTGGAGCAAATACGCAAGCAATTTCATTGCATTTCCTCATCAAAGTTACACTGAATCAAGTGCAAATATGTACCTGGAAATGGAACAAAATATGGAGAAGAAGAAGTCAGCTACAACAGTATAAACAGACGCAAGGTTTCAGCAAGTGTTATCCAGCAACAACAAGATTAATCTTTGAATCAAGCAGCCTTTCAAAATCCAGGAGTGAATTATAGGGATACAGCATCCAAGAGATGACAAAACACAGCTTGATTGGCCCCAAAATTACTTGAAATTAAACTAGGAACACTTTGAAAATCATCACAATCAGATCTCGCACTAGAAACTGTAAAGCTGTTATTACAGCTTGAGATTCAACTGAAAATCTCAACAGGACAGTATTTTTTCTTTTGAGTTTTCTGTAAATTTTTTTTTGGGTTTTTGGTTTTTGAAGATCTAGATCTAGAGAATTTTTGAATTTTAAATTCAGATTCGAGCTAATGAAGACTTGTGAGACTGGGAGAATTTTCAGGGGTCAAAAACTTGTGAGTGAAGGCATTGGGGTTGCCTTTTATAGGCAAGAAATGGGGTAGAATGTTCTAGATGGCACTCACATTTTCCTTTTTTTAGTTTCAGATTTCACCCACTAGGCCTTCAATTTTTAGCTTGTTTCTCACGTTACTGCCCTAAGTTTGCTGAAATCTTCACTAAAGTCCTATTCTAGAAGGCCCTAGGGTGTTCTTCTACTTGTGGAATACCTGTATTATCCTTACTTCTATTATGATTTTACTTAGCCTTAACAAACCGAGCCATTTTAGGTGCCTAAAGTACCCCTGATCACACCCTGAAATTACTAAGCTTAGTATTAAACTATACCCTCAGCCTCCTTTTACCCTAGTTAACAATTGACCACGGTTAGTTAAGAGGCTACACTATTCAGCTGTATCCCAATGACTAGGTTAATAGAGTCTAACTAATTATCACCAAAGCAACTATAGAACTAACATCTGAACACAGATTAATTCCAATATCAAGCAAAACAAATTGTAATCAGTTGAAACCACATACCAACGCCTAATATTCAAAATTTGTAAAATGCACCAATATACTAACTAAATCAAATGACCTAATTAAACTAGTCAGTTGAATACAATTAGCGAATTAAAAGCTTGCATTGAGGAAACCTAACAAGATACAAGATAAACAAAAAACAAGAACCAATTTGAGAAGTAACCCTAGATTCGATCGGAACCCTAAACCAAATGAAAGAAAGAGAAGAAAACATCAGACTCACCACACTAGGCTTGGATCGAATTTTGTGCGACTGCCCTCAAACTTGGCCTCAAAGTAATATTATATGTCTGTTCTTTAACAGAGCAGTCATATAACATCACTTTGGAGCCCTTTTGAATAAATGACAGACCCCTGGACCTTGTATCTTCAACCTTAGATGTGGAATTGGGGGAATCCGGTTGGGATTTTTGGGGAGTAACCAGCAGCATGGGACTTAGGGTAGCCTGGGGATTGCACGGTACCATTTTGGTATGGTTTGGGTGGCGGCGCCGCCGTGCACGGTGGTGGCGGCGCCTAGGGTTTGCTATATTTGAGAATTTTGGCTAGGGTTCGAAGGATTTCAAGCGTGGATACGGAAAGAGGAGGGAGGGAGGAATCTTTGGTGAAAAGTTGGGCGAATTTGGAGGCCGGCCGCCGCCGTGGGCGATTTCCGGCGGCGGCGTTAAGGCGGAGCCGGCGAAGAGGCAGGATACGAGGAAGACGGATATTGTCTTTAGGGTTTCCTCCAATTTAGACACTTTTATTTAATACCAACGATCAGTTATGAGCCGTTAGATTGAAGACGATCGATGGCCCAGATCTATTGACGAAAAACCGACGTCGTTTGGACGTCTGAGAGAGTGGACCGGGTGGGGGCTTAGCTTGG